CAATGAAAGATTTCTGCTTCTCTTACACCTTTGAAATCTCATGTTTCTCACTGAGTAGCACCTAAGCCTGAATCTTGCCGGCATGTCTTCTGTGACATGCAGTTATTAAGCCCACAGGCCCCCTAATGTATTGGAGAGGACAAGAATGAGGAAACAGTGCAGAATAGTATATAACCCAGCAGAGTCAGATACAATCACTGTTTTGATTATGAATGGGAGCTTTTTCTGCATTCTATTTTCTAATAATTTATGATAGATGTTTCACTTTTTTGTGTTAATCTTATATTCCACAACAGCTCCAGGATGCAAATATTAATTCTAAGAAAAGGGGTCCATATCTATTTTTTTCTTCTTGCCCCTCCTCTCTCTTCCTCCTTCCCTCCATCTTTCTCTTTCTTTCCTTACTTTCCTTTTTTCCTTTCTTTCCTTCTTCTCTTCCTTTCTTCCATGCTTTTCTTTCCTGCTTTTCTCTCTCCTTTCCTCCTTCCCTCCCTTTTCCTTTTTCTTCTTCCCTCCTTCTTTCCTTTCATTCTTTCTTTATTTTTTAATCTCAGACTCTCAGGAAAGTTCTGTTCTACTCAGTGGTGAAATAGTACAGTACACATTCTATCACAATAGCCATCATGTTAAACACCTTACAGATACCAAACTCCAAATGTATGTGTGAGCGTTTGTGTGTGTGTGTGTGTGTCTGTGTATGCATATGTATGTGATTGGACAGACAGATGGACAGATAGATAGATAGATACATAGATAGATACAGAGAGAGAGAGACAGACAGATAAATAGATAGATAGATTGGTAGATAGACATGTTTAATTTCAACTTCCCACACCTTTGTAAAATGAGACACTATCCGCTTTTTAAAGCTGAAGGAAACTTGAAGTTCATAACAATTAACTCCAAGTTTCTACAGCTAACAGATTTACTGCAAAGATCCAATCTTGAGTCTGCCTTATTCCAAAGGCCATAATCGTTCCATTTGTCAAAATCTCTTCAGTACACTCAGCAAACGTGATAGTTTTTAGAGAAAAGTCTATATCTTATTACTCACTTTTCTGTCTGGGATTCACCCTTTATACTAGGCTCAGTACAGAGAATAACTGAATCTCAGACATCTACAGGTAAAGATAGAGCCCTTCATATAAAAATATATGGAGGAGAGTCTTGAGGCATTCTGGTAGCTGAGCATTCAGGCTAAGGGTTTCCATTGTTGGTGTGTAAGCAAGACTGGACAGAAACTTTCTAATATTCAAAAATTGCTCCAGAAAACTATTTTTGTTTTCCATGCTCAGTCTTCCTCAGCATTTAAAGGTATAGGAAATCATGAAACAGCCTAAATGTCAGTATTTCCTCTGTTTTTATGAATTCTTTACACAATAGAAATATTCAATAAAAGTTATTAATTACAGATCAAGTATCCTCTATGAGGTATTTTGTATCATTCCCATTACTTGAAGTGTTTGAATGTTTACTAGTTGTGAACGCTCTGCATCATCCTAGCAAAAGTCTATGCACTCTAACATCTAAGTACTCTCTTATATTATCACACTGAAATTTATTAGTTTTTTCTCCTTCTTCTTTGAGCAAACTCAGTTTCTTTTCACATCTTTAGAAACTCCAACTTAAGAAATATTCATTCACCAACATGTCCTCTATGAATAAGCTGATAGTGAGGATAATCCCTTGGTAGCCAACTCAAGCCACCCCTGAACTCTACAGCTGGCAGATAGAGATAAATGCTGTCTAAAAATTCATACAACTTCAAATTATACAATGTTTCATGCCAACTGATAAATTACTTAAGTTATTCTATTTTTATTCACATATCTGTGTGTTGTATACTTTATATAATATACTTTTCTCACAAAATATTTCACAACTATCTTCCAAAGGACAAAAAATTGCAAATGTAAAGTTACATAACTAATTTTTAGGAGAGCAAAATACAGATATTTGAGATGTAAACATCTAAAAAAATCAATATTTTATTACGGAATAACAATTTTGGAAGGAAGTATTCCTTCCATCTCCCTTCCTGACAATTCGAAATTGTACATCACCATTGGTTTGGACCTACAACCCCTGAAGGACTATTGTGGACACTAGTATTGTTAGAATATTCTTTCTAACGTTCAGCCAAAACTATCTCTGTGGAACTTCCCCATTATTTTAAGTTGTAAATTCTGGATGTCACACTGAAAACATGCTAACAAGGATCAGTGCTGTTAACATAAACAATAAATATGTAGCAACTAATGTATGTGAAAAATATTTTTTTCTTTCAAATCTCTATGCAATTTTCAAGACCAGTAAGGAAGAAAATTAAATTTTCCACTTTTGAAACTGAGACAATGTCCCAGTCTATTTTTATCAGCCGTAGTACTCTATCATTGCATACATTGATAGTAAAGAATAGAGGGTTTTTGTTGTTGTTGTTGTTTTAATTAGGTGATAAGAACTCTGCCAATTCTGAAAATCTATAAACATAAAGCCATTCAGGCTCTTCTCTAATGGAATGAAACTCTTTCTCTTGGAACTGAGCCAATGCCTACTAGATAGCCGTGTGTAAGTTATCGAGTGAAACATTTCATTCTCAGAGGCTGAACTCAGGACCTCTTTTAAAATATGTTGCCTCTTATTATGGCAAGAATTTAGTTGATTGTGTCACGATGAAACTGCCAGGGTACCCCTTGAATGTTTTTAGTAGTTCTAGTGACAGATTAGATACAAGTACATGAATGAAATGGGGCTTTATTTAAAGTGACACTGTGAATCCAGTCTCATCAGATTCATCAATCCTAATTCACTTATGTCTTTTAGGAGTGCTCAGTCTGTCTCATTTGTTTCAATTGCTTCCTGTTTTACCAATATGCTTTTCAATTAGTTGAGCAGAGCAATAACAAAAGTGACATAACAAGAGTGAACTGTGCTCTGCCAAACTGCTTCCATAGGTTCCCTGTACAGTTAAATAAGCTCCACATCCTCGACTTGAAACCTGAATTTAATAATTGGTTGACAAAAAGTGTCTTCTTAAAAATTAATTAGAATTCTGTTGAACCACTTAAATTTAATAAAATTCAGCTGGTAATTGATAGCACGCACTAGTTCACAGGTGGCAAAGACATTTACTCCATTCTATTCCCATCTGCTGATACATATACCATAAATTTAAACTGCATATCCATCATCCACCTGGAAGTGAGCGTGCAATCCAAAATCCTCTTACCTACAGCTGCTATACTGTGTTCAGTTGTCCTTCTTTGAAAATGTCATCAGCATCATGAACGAACAGTTTCTAACCTTGAAAAATTCAGTTAACATGTCTACATATAACTTTATTCTCAGATATCTCTGGTATTCACAGATATCACAAAAGTAGCAACTTAATACAGAGTTTGATCTGTGAAGGGGCTCCAATGATTAATGGTTGAGGACAAAATGCTTTTTACACGGGAAATAACACCTTCCAAGATGTGTACACATAATTTGTAGATAGAACACAAACTTATTTTACTTTTATTTTGTATGTGTAACCTGTTCTGAGACCACTCTTGCAACAAACAGAACTATGATTTGCCTGAAATATGGCTTAAAAATCTGTCAAATATTAGAATATAGCAATGGATTCAACTTATGGTGAACTCACTATTTTCCATGGTTTGGGGTTTCCCTATCAGAGACTTTCTATCCACTTCCTTATCTTTTCTCTCCTCTTGTTTTACGGTCTTTGGGAAAATGTAAAATTTATGGTTGTTTTCACCACAAAATTAATTTAAGAATATCTGGTGCAGTTATGGCCTTCAATAAAAATGACAAACTGGTATGGTCTAATGGGATGAATGAAAGACACTTGAAATATAAAATTTTCTGCAGCGAATTCCCAGAATTTGAGCGTGACTAGTAGAAAGTAAAATTATACTGGTCAAACTCTTACACTCTCCAACAGAACTGCTCTCAAGTTCACATTTCATCACTTTCCTTCTTTAACTCTAATTTTCAAGTCTGAAAAAACTGAAACCATAGGAAAGGCTGAGGAAAATACTTTACAATATTTTGAATCAATTAACTTGAATTAACCTGACAAATGTGAGGACAGATATACGGCAGACTTGAAATCAGTATGGTATTGTCAATATTTTATAAATGATTAGGAAACAAGGATAAATAATTCCACATTCAAAGTGGATGACCTCCTTGTTGATTATCTGAAACTACATTATAAATATTTTAGTTAAGTAGCACACAGTGGATTTAATTTGAGATAATCTGTTGATGCCCGCTTAGTTGTGAACATAAAACGTGTCATAATGTATTCTAAAATATTTTAATATATTCATTTTAAAGGTCTATCATTAAATTATGCAATGGTCACTGTTACTCAAAATAGATGCAGTGAATATTTAACCATTTCGGTCGTTGTATAAATATATAAGAATATGGAGCAGCTGAGAAAATAGGATAAAAGTCACTTTCATTCAGGTGATTCCCCATAAAGGTGGGGATGGCTCAACCTCTTTCAGCCCGTGACTTCCTGCTTACAGAACTTAGGCACTATCTTCAAACTCAAGCCATCAAAAAGCAGAAAATCCATCCACTAGCACACAGTACGGTGTTTGAGGAAGCTGCCACGAAACAGGAGACTACATCAGGGGTTATTTCTCTTATTGTTTTCAGCAATTTAACACAATCTACACATACTTTCCAGACTCATATCAAACTAAAAATTTAATAAAGACAAAATAGTTTACTATTTTCCACATTAGTATTGTTTTCAAAAAATTTATAGTGTTTTTGTTTACTGACAAAAATCAAAATCAAGGGTTATTTTCAATTTAAATATAAAACACTTATTTATTTTGAGTGTATAAAATATTAAGCTTTAACATATTGAGCTATTGTTAAGGAGATCTATAAATGATATCCACAAGTTTTACGGGTTTTTTTCCCCTCAATATCCCTTTCAATTTTAAAGGCAGGTTAATAAAAGAAGAATGTACCTGTTTTCTGAAAACAGGGTCCAAACTATGAACTTCAAAAGGGAACTGGTTTCTGCAAAGATATCCTTTTGTAGTAGTCATGCAAAAATGATGCTTAGTAGATCCTTAATCGCAGTAAATGGGAATCCTTTAAGGTCACCTGTTAAGAAAGGATATATACTATTGTGATTACAAATGACCTTTCTTTCAATTTTCCATTGTTTGATTAAAACCTACTTTGCTTATTAAATACTTTATAATAAGTCTCTATTTAGTTATACAGGAAATTACTATGCTGTTTACCCATCTCAGTACACACTTATAACACTTCTAATTAAATATATTTATTTAGTTGTTGCTTTTTTACATTTAATCTTTCCTTTGTAATTTATATTTAATAATAAACACAAAAGAATATCACTCTAACTAAATTTTCATGAACTTCAAGCTTAAAACATTTAACACATCACTCAGACAGAAAATCAACAGGGAAGCATTGGATTTAGGCTACACATTAGAGCAGATGGGATTAACAGATATTATAGAACATTCTAGCCAATAGCAGCAGAATACACATTATTTTCATGGACACGTGAAACATTTTCCAGGAGAGGAATTTGTTAGGCAACAAAACAAGTCATAATAAAGTCAAGAAGATTGAAATCACATAAAATATCTTATCTGACCATAACGGTATGAAGCTAGAAATCACTAACAAGAATAAAATTGGAAAATTCACAAATAAGTGGAGATTATACAACTCGTTCTTGAACAATCAATGGGTCAAAGAAGAAAACAAAAGAGAAACCAAAAAAATACCTTAAGACAAATCAAAATGGAAATACAACATACCAAAACTTATGTAATGCAGCAAAAACAGTTCTAAGAGAGAAGTGCATAGCAAAATATGCCTACACTAATAAACAAGAAAAAAGATCTCAAATAAATAACCTAACTTTACTACTCAAGGAACAAGGAAAAGAAGAACAAAGTCCCAAATTCGTAGAAGTAAAGAAATAACAAAAATGAGAGCGGAATTAAATGAAATAGAGACTAAAAAGACAGTAGAAAAAAACAATGAAACTCAGGTCTGTTTTATTGAAAAGATAAATGAAGCAGACAAAACTTTAGCTAAACTTACCAAGAAAAAAAGAGAGAATGCAAATAAATAAAATTAGAAAGGAAAAAGGAGACATTACAACTGATACTACACAAGTACCAAGGATAATAAGTGACTATTATGAACAATTATACACCAACAAATTGGACAAGCTAGAGTGAAATAGGTAAATTCATAAAACATACAACTTACCAAGACTGAATCATGAAGAAATAGAAAATATGAACAGACAAATTTCTAGTAAAAGCACTGAATCAGTAATCAAAAACCTCTCAACACAAAAAAGTCTAGAACCAAATGGCTTCACCAGTGAATTTTAGTGAACATTTAACGAATTTATACCAATCTCTTTCAAACTATTCCAAAAAATAGAAGAGGAAGGAGTACTTCGAACCTATTTTGTGAGGACAGTGTTACCCTGATACCAAAACTGGACAAGAACAGTACAAGAAAAGAAAATTACAGGCCAATACTCCTAATGAACATAGATGCAAAAATCATCAACAAAATGTTGACAAACAGAATTCAACAATACATTCAAAGGATCATACACCATGACCAAGTGAGAATTATTCCAGGGATACAAGGATGGTTCAACATCCACAAATCAATCAATGTGATACACCACGTTAACAAAATGAAGGACAAAAGTCATATGATCTTCTGAATAGATTCAGAAAAACCACTTGAAAAAACTGAACATTTATTCATGATAAACACTCTCAACAAACTGGGTATAAGAGGGAATGTGCCTCAACATCATAAGGGTCATATATGACAAACCCACAGCTAACATTATACTCAATGGTGAAAAACTGAAAGCTTTTCCTCTAAGATAAGGAACAAATAAGGATGCTCACTCTTGCCATATTTATTCAATGTAGTACTGGAAGTCCTAGCTAGAGCAATTACACAAGAGAAAGAAATAAAATGCATCCAAATCAGAAAGAAAGAAGTAAAAGTGTCTCTATTTGTAGATGACATGATTTTATATACAGAAAACCCTAAAGATTCTACCAAAAAACTGTCAGAACTAATCAACAAATCCAGTGCATTTGCAAGATAAAAAAATCAATATGTAAAAATCACTTGCATTTCTATACACTAGCAACAAATTATCAGAAAAGAAATTAAAAAACAATCCCATTTTGTAGTTTCATCAAAAGAATAAAGAACCTAAGAATAAATTTAACCAAGGAAGTGAACGATCTGTACACTGAAAACTATAAGATATTGATTAATGAAATTGAAGAAAACGCAAACAAAGAGAAAGATATTCCATATTCGTGGGTTGGAAGAACTAATATTGTTAAAATGTCAATACTACCAATAGCAATCTACAGATTCAATGCAATCTCTATCAAAATTCCAATGGAATTTTTCACAGAAATAGAATAGATAATCCTAAAATTTCCATGGAACCAGAAAAACTCTGAATAGCCAAATCAATCTTGAGAAAAAAGAACAAAGAGGGAAGCATCACACTTCTTGATTTCATATCTATATTACTATATTACATAGCTATAGTAATCAAAACGGTAGGGTATTGGCATAAACACAGACACATAGATCAATGGGACAGAATAGAGACCCCAGAAATAAACCAATGCAAATATGGTCAATTAACTTATGACAAAGTACCCAAGAATATACAATGGGAAAGGACAGTGTCTTCAATAAATGGTGTTGGGAAAACACAGCCACATGCAAAGAATAGAACTTGACCACTATCTTGTACCATACACAAAAATTAACTCAAATCAATTAAATACTTGAAGGGAAGACGTGAAACCATAAAACTCCTTTATGAAAACACAGGCAGTAAGCTCCTGGACATAAGTCTCAGAGATGATTTTTTGAATCTGACACCAAAAGCAAAAGCAACAAAGCAAAAATAAATAAGTGGGACTACATCATACTAAAAAGCTTCTGCACAACAAAGGAAATCATCAACAAAAGGAAAAGGCAACATACTGAATGGGAGAAAATATTTGCACATCATCTATCTGATAAGGGACTAATATCCAAAATATATAAAGAACTCATACAACTCAATAGCAAAAAACCAAACAATCCAATTAAAAAATGGGCAGAAGATCCAAATAGACATTTTTTTCAAAGACATACAAATGGCCAATAGGTACGTGAAAAGGTACTCAACCTCATTAATCATCGGGGAAATGCAAATCAAAACGACAATATGAGATATCACTGGGAGCCGGCCCCATGGCCAGGTTGTTAAGTTCACATGCTCTGCTTTGGCAGCCTAGGTTTCGCTGGTTCAGATCCTGGGCACAGACCTATACATCACTTATCAAACCATGCTGTGGTGGCATACCACACAGAAGAACTAGAATGACTTACAATTAGGATATACAACTATGTGTTGGGGCTTTGGGGAGAAAAAAGAAGAGACAAAGAGATGTTAGCTCAGGGCCAATCCTTCTCACCCAAAAGAGATATCATCTCATACCTGTTAGAGCAGCTATTATCAAAAAGAAAAGAAATAACAAGTGTTAGCAAGGATGTGGAAAAAAGGGAACCTTTGTGCACTGTTGGTGGGAATGAAAATTGGTGCAGCAACTATGGAAAACAATACGGAAGTTACTCAAAACATTAAAAATAGAACTACCAAATGATCCAGCAATTCCTCTTCTGGATATTTATCTGAAGAAAATGAAAACATTAACTTGAAAATATATATGCACCTCCATGTTCACTGAAGCATTATTTACAATAGCCAAGATATGGAAACAACCTAAATATCCATCAATGGATGAATAGATAAAAAATGTGTGGTATATAAATACAATAGAATATTATTCAGCCATAAGAAAGGAAAACATTTTGTCATTCACGATGACATAGAGGGACCTTGAGGGCATTATGCTAAGTGAGGTAAGTCAGAGAAAGATAAATACCATATGATATCTCTTATATGTGGAACATATATTAAAAAAAACAAGCTTATAAGGAAGTAGCTGGGAGATGGGAGAAGTAAGTGAAGAAGATCAAAAGGTAAAAGTAAAAATGAACAAATAAATACAATGCATTACTGAACAACACCAGAGCATAGTTTCCTGTTGTCTAATAATTTGTGACCATCTCCTACAATAATAAATAAATAAACAAATAAATAAATAAATAATAAATAAATTGAATATGTTCTGCTATTCAAACTGAGGAGGTCATAAAATGGATAATGCCATTATCCTTGTTTTGTCATCAAGAAGTTCTATTTTTAAATTTCAAACAATCTACTCCCTTCTATACTCAAAACACACACCATCACTTAAAATAGGTGTATTCTAAAAATGGAAATGTTATACAAAATGACTATTGAATTAAAAAGTGAACAGTGATACTTGGGATAAGCTAGAATTTATTTTTCAGAAGTGATCTTTTACGAAAATAATAAAGGATCTTTGGAGTTAGTGACTAGAATTATAGTAGTGAAATTAAAAACAATACAGAAGGAAAATAATATGAGGCATATGCCACCACATTTATTCACACAATAACTCTATCCTTGGGAAAGTGAATGTAGTAGGTTGCTTGAAAAAAACAAATACCAAAAGTCATGATGCATAATATCAATGTAGAGCTTTGATGCCTCACTGATTCTCAACTGGCTTATTAAAAGGGTTTGTGATAAAATACATACATACATACATAAAAGTAGCTGGGCTCTAGAAAAGTTGAATTCTCCAACCTAATAAGTCTGTTACCCCAGGGTCAGTGCCTTAATTGAAAAGGTGTGTGATACTGAGACTTGTATAAGCAACATCTGGCTAAAATACTCCAAAATCTTAAATTCCGTATACTCTCTGGGCCTCCCAATGTGGTCCACTCCTCCTGGTAAAGGTGTAGATAGTGCATCCAAGATCAAACATGATCAGAATCAGAGAGGGGTAAGTGAATTGGATCAGTAGATCCCAACATCATATGTCTACTTGTGCACCACCTTTCCTGAAAAGTATGTCTGTTGATTCTCTGCAATGTCATGCAAGGTTTGTGTCAGTGAAAGTAGCCCTGACTTC